TTGTTTACCTGTGCCTTTATAAAACAGAAGAAATTTGTGGAATGTTTTTAACCTAGAATAAGGTTTTTTTTTTCTTTTAAGAGCTGGGCCTATTATACTTGTACATACTTTCATGATGAATTCCACAATCTTATGTTTAATTTTTAGTGCTTTAATGCTATTTAGAAATCATAAACTAGCAGAAAGAGAAATCAGGAAATGTATTTACAATTGCATCAAGAAGAATAAAATACCTAGGAATAAACCTAACTGAGGAGGTGAAAGACCTGTACTCTGAAAACTATAAGACAATGATGAAAGAAATTGAAGAACACACGCGTAAATGGAAAGCTATCCCATTATCATGGATAGGAAGAATTAATATTGTCAAAATGGCCAACCAGCCCACAACAATTTACAGATTTAATACAATCCCTAACAAAACATCAGTAGCATTTTTCAATGAATTAAAGCCAATAATCTTAAAATGCATATGGTACCACAAAAGACTGAATAATCAAAACAATCTTGAGAAAGAACAAAACTGGGGTGTACCACAATCCCTGGTTTCAAGCTATATTACAAAGGTACAGTGATTAAAACAGTATGGTACTGGCACAGGAAGAGAACCATAGGGATCAATGGAACAGAATAGAGAGCCCAGAAATAAACCCATACATATATGGTCAATTAATATATGACAAAGGAGCCATGAATGTGCAATGAGGAAAAGACAGTCTCTTCAATAAATGGTACTGGGAAAACCAGACAACCACATGCAAAGGAAACAAGACTAGTCTCTTATGCCATACATAAGAATTTACTCAAAATGGATTAAAGACCTAAATGTAAGACATGAAACCATAAAACACTTAGAAGATAACAGACAAGAATATCATGAACATCAGCATGAGAAATTTCTTTACGGATATGTCCCCATGGGCAGGAAAAACAAAAGCAAAAATAAACAAGTGGACCTATATCTGTAGAGCAAAAGAAAGCCTCAACAGAACAAAAAGACAGTGTGTACCATATGGGATAATAAATTTGTAAATATGTATCTGATAAGGGGCTAATATTCAAAATATATGACTCAACACACAAAGAAACAAATAATCTAATTAAAAAGTGGGCAGAGGACCTGAAGAGACATTTTTCCAAAGAAGACATATGGATGGCCAATAGACACATGGAAAGATGTTCAACATTACTGATCATCACAGAAATGCAAATCAAAACCACAATAAGGTTATCACCTTACACCAGTCAGAATGACCACTATCCAAAAGTCAAGAAATAACAAGAGCTGGCAAGGATGTGGAGAAAAGCAAACCCTCCTACACTGTTGGTGGGAATGTAAATTGGTCCAGCCATAGTGGAAAACAATATGGAGGTTACTCAAAATACTAAAAATAGAAATACCATACAACCCAGGAATTCCACTTCTGGGAGTTTATCTGAAGAAAACAAAATCACTAATTTGAAAAGATATACGCACACACATGTTCACTGCAGCATTATTTACAATAGCCAAGATATGGAAGCAACTCAAATACCCATCAACAGATGAAAGAATAAAGAAGATGTGGTACATACACATGATAGAATATTACTCAGCCATAAAAAAGAAAAAGTCTACCATTGTGATGAAATGGATGGACCTAGAGGGTATCATGCTAAGTGAAATAAGCCAGGCAGAGAAAGACAAATACCATATGATTTCACTTACAGGTAGAATCTAAATAAAACAAGCAAAGAAGAAATAGGCCCACAAATATGGACAACAGACTGTTGGTTACTGTAGGGAGGGGGTGGGGGATGAGTGAATTAACAAAATAAGTTAGTCATTGGAATGGATGTACAACATATAGAATATAACTAATAATACTGTACTATCTTGTATGGTGATGGGAAACTACACTTATCATCACAAGAATCTAGAAATGGATTCAATTATCAAGTCACTACGTTGTACATCTATATAATATGATATACTATTGTATGTCAACTTTATTTGATTAAAAAAATTTGAAAGAAGAATATCCACTTAAAAAGGCCCAGGAAAGAATTTGATTTACAACTAAAAAATAAATAAAATAAAATGCATGAGCAAAATAAGTAGTATCTATGAGAGGTGGGTGAAACAAAAGCCAAGAAATATAAATTCAGAAAGAACATAAGATAAAATAAAAGAGATAGTTAATATATTTCAAGAATTAAAAGCTTAAAAATATGTCCAGCAAATGAAAAATACTATAAGGAACAACTGAGATAAACTGAATAAGAACCAAAATGAACTGTATTAGTTAATATGTAGGGAGATAGTATTTATCCACCTAAATTCTCTATCTAGCAAAGATACTTTTCAAGGAAGTGGTAAAATAAAGACATATTCAGACAGACAAAAACTGAGAGAGTTTCACATGAGCAGATTCTTACTAAGGAAGTCTGCAGGATAGAAGAAAAAGGATGCCCAGCAGAAGACCTGAGATGCAAGAAATGAAGAGCAAAAAAATGTGGTGACTATGTAAGTGCCTCTAAAGAAATGCTTCAGAGAATTGAAGACTTCTGACAATGTCTTCTTCCCACCCACAAGAATCTCTGGGTTAAGGAGATATTAAGGGCCTAGCTACCTACATGGAATGCACGAAAGGAAAAATATGGTGAACAAAACACTGTAATTATCCCTTACAGTTATCCTCCCAGGGAAACAAGACCTCTGCCTTCATGAAGCTTTTCCTCTAGTAAGAAAAAGCCAGACAACCAAATAATCACACAAATCACAGAAAAATATGTAATTACAGCTCCAGCTCAATTCTCTGAAGAAGTATATGATACCAAGAAAGCATAACAGAGTGGGATCTGACTTAGAAAGTTTAGAAAAAGCTAGTTTTATTATGTATCCTGCCGCTCCCTGCAGCACTGAGGGATATACTGCCGACCAGGATAGACTCAGCTCTGAGGAATCAATGGCTCCAGAGAGAACTGTGCGAAGTAAACTGATTGACGTTAGGAGTTCACAATAAGAAGCCCACTAAAGTCTGAGAGGTATGATGTCCTCTCAAATTCCAAAAGTAAATGATAAGTGAAAGAATTAGAATTGATATACATAGAACTGCAGTTTAGATATTCTAGATAGAAAAGCTTTTGCTAAATCATCTATTTGAGGAAGCTGATTCTATGAGGTCAATGCGTAAGGCAAAAAATAAGGCCAAATGACTAAGCACACAGGATTTGGGGATCTAAAGCCCAGCTCTGAAAGCTTAGCCCTATTTGCGGTTCCCCCTCTGCAGGCCTACAGCCTCTGGTTGCCTGCCTCTCCACTTCTGCAAACTGTTTCTCCCCTTGCCCCACACCTAGCAGAATAGGGCCATCTCATAATGGCTCATTCTCAGTGTCAGAGTTCACATCACCTCTTTTCAGGCAAAAAGCGAGAAATGCTGAATCCTAGATCCAGGTTTCAGCAGAGAACCTGACTGGCCCCAGTTTGGGTCACAAATCACTGTGACTGAAGGGAGAGGGTCATGTGATACAAACAGGATTCCTGTGACCAACCCCTGCAGACTGCCAGCAAATCTCAGAGAAGGACAAATGGCATGTGGGCCAGCATGATTATACCACATTAACATACTACATATCGGTATATTATAAAGTAACTGCAAGTTATATAATAATTTTCTAAAAGGAATTCTTAGTTTTCTAATAAAAATCCCAAAAATTTTAGCAATAATATTTTAGAATGAACAGGAAAGAGAGCTACTTGTTATTTCAGTATGTTAGCCATTTTAAAATACTACCAGTGTCTGAAATACAGTTTAAGGTATTTAGAAGTAGTAGTAATGTCTGAATAATTCAGTTAAACACTCTCGTCTGACTGTTTTTATGAAAGGCCCTAGGTGAGATCTAAGTGAATACAAAAATAAGTATGAAAATGTCCTTCCCTTAATGCACTTTTGATCCCGTAACATAACTATTACACAATGCAAGGGGAAACAAGGGCTGTGGAGACACAGAGGATCAGTTATGAGTTCAGTAAACCAGCCAATAAATATTTTTTGTGCAATGACTTTTCATGATTTGCAGTACTGTACTACTTACAAGTGCTATTAAAAATCTCAGAATACTTGTGTCTCTGTTCCTATTAACATCTTATATAAGTAGCACACATTTTGATTACTCACCAATGCAAGTATCACATTGCAAAAATACATCTCAAATCTCAAATAACAATGTCTAACATTTAAGAAATACACAGTATGTTTGCCAAATAAATGTGTAAGTCACAGTATAAGTGAGTTTTACGTATTTTAGCTGTAATACACATATTATTTGCTCAGAATATTATTCTAAAAAATGATACATATGTGTTTTTAAGATCATCACAAAAGTCAAATGCCAGAAACAGACCATCTTGACATACTTTTGAAAGTGCCTTACACATGCTGCATTAGAAAGTGGGCTGAGCTTTCAATGAGACCAGAAACACAGGGTGCAGCCTGTTCCACTGAGACTGGGGGAGGCACATGTGGGAGGCCCTCTACCCAACACAGACTGGGCCATGGCCACCGCAGCTCAGGGATCCACGCTTAGCAACTCCAACCCAGCACTTTTACAGTCTTCTCAAAAACCCAAAAGTTCACAAAAAAAGGTCCAACTTTTGTTTTTGTTTTATTCTACTGCCGATTGTGTGTAAAAAGGGCATGACTATCTATGACACCCAGCTCAAGTCCTGAAATAACTTCTGTACAAAACAGTTAAGTCTAGAAATGTCATTTGCAAGACAGGGTATCACCATCCAAAATCAAAACAATAAATAAGTTATAAGATCTTATGCCTGAATGTTGCCTTATTGATAAAATTCTCCACAGGTAATAATCATATGTAGAAAAAAAATACAAAGTGACTTTAAAGTACCTAATGATGATATGTCTGTTAAGTTGTTTGGAACATAACTTATCTTTTTAAAAAGAATTATGACATTTTCTTATCTAGAGCACCAAAAGCTAAATTTAGATACTTACATTATTACACTCTCCAAGGAAATACAGTGCAAATCCATCAGCTTTTGTGGCTGCCAAGGTAATAAAAAAGGAAGAAACTAATCTCAATGGAAGAACATAACACACATGAATTCTTTAAGGTGCAACCTCAGATAAAAGTCTTTTAAATGGATTTCTTCATTAATGGTCATGCAGTAAACTGAACAAAATAACATGGCTTTACTCAACTACATAATTAGAGCATTTTTATTTGCTTTCCATCAGCTATTGTAAATTTTAAGATGTGACATCCTCACATGCATATAGCAGTCAATGCACTATATATTTGTCAAACTTTAAATATCAGAATTACTGAAAAATATTTTTAAAATTTGAGAATTATATTTTCAAAGTATTAAAAAATACCAGAAGTGACATTCAGAACACTGAATAACCAATATCAGCATCAACCAAAAAGGATGATGTATGATGTCTACATTCACATGCCATCACTGAACAGAATACAATTTAGCTTTTCTAAAACTGCTGCAGGGCCATCAGAAGGCAAACTGTAGCAGCAACAAGTAAGGCTTGGGGGCATCGCCTGAGTGTGGAGTCCGACTTGACTCCCTTACCTGTGTGGCCGTGGGGGAGGGATCGGCCTGTCCTCACCACAGCGTCCTCTTCAGCAAAATGGTGATACTAGTATATGAAGTTGTCATCACCCCCACTAAGTTTAACATGTTTTGTCTTCCCTTCAAATTAATAATTTTCTTCAGAAAGACGTGATTTAATTCAATAAAACTATTCTTTCCAACGAAAACTTAAGTTATAATTAGAAGACAGAATCCATTTATATATCATATATATATTGGGGGATTAGAGAACCCCTGAATTTTTAGGTTTGACTCATTCTGGTATTTTCATAAAATATTTTCACTCCAAACTTAACCCAAGGATAGAAGTAAATAAATTACTTGCATTTGCCTCTTACTAAGTATATTATTTTTGACACTTTTTGCAATGGAACAAAGGAATCCTTGGTTGTTTCTCTAAGAGGAATACAAAATGCTTCTTACCTATTTTAATGATGCTACTCAGTTCATAGAGGAGCAGCTGGTTATCACCTCCTGTGTCCAAACGCTGCTCTATGTAGCTGTTCAGCTCATACACCACTCCCTGCATATTCGTATCCTGGTACTTTGAATCAAAAAAAGGAGCACAATTAAATGTAATCAAATAAAAATTCCTTATTTATAAAACACACTATTAATATACATGATGCTATATATTA